GCCAGATCTGAGAGCTGTGGCAAAGTCAGCAGGAACAACGGAAGATTCTAGAGAGAGAGAATGGCAGTGAGGGAGGTAGTAGAGGTGGAGGAAGACAGGAAGGGAAGCCTGGCTCCTAGAGACCAGGTCTCAGGGTGAGACCTGCGCTCAGAGACCTTGTTAGGAGAAAATCCACAAGGTTCAGCGACAGGCTGAATAAAGGAGTTTAGGAAGGAGGAGGAGGAAGAGAAATTAAATTTCTGTTTATTAACAGTCATATAATTACTGTTATTTGAATCAGAGGTTACAGGATTTTCTTCAACCTCCTCTTCTGAGATTCTCAGATCTTACTGAAAGTGTGAGGAATTGTCATTAATACTTGTTTGGTTGGGGTGGTTCCTTTATCCCAAGTTCTTCTGTGAATATCCCATTGGGAGCTGACCACTTGGTCCCCGGGAGCTGAATTGCGAACACAGCAGTGGCGAGGCTGCTTTTGATGCTGGAGACTTCCCGAAGCTGTCAGACCCACTTTGGCGATCATCCTTGCCATGCAGATTGCCCTTTGCTCCTGAGCTCAGAGCACTCAGATGTACAGGTGCCCACAGGGTTGCCGTGAATCGGAATCCACTGGATGGCATTTTTGGGATTTTGGTGTTTTGCTATGAGGGCAGCAGGCAAGGAGTTGAGACAGTAAGACATGGATTCTTCCCTCAAGGAGCCCCTGTCTGTGACATTGAGGATGCCGATAAGGTTCTAGGATGGCCAACGTGCTCCATGTTAGGCACAATGTGTGGGGCCGGCACACAGCAGGGTCTGCTATGCTGTCAGTGTATGTCCCCTGGGTATGTCTCCTGGGGAAAACGCTTTGTGTCATGTGTCTCCCTGGAGCATTGCAAGGTGTCATTTATACTACATGCTCTGAGCCGTAGACTCGGTAAACATGTGCACCATGTTTCTGCAGCTCTGCTCTTACAGGCGGTGGGCGTTTTATAGCTGCTGCACTAATCCGCTTCTCTGACAATTAATTGCTGCTTCAGTATGCTGCTCAAGTGCAGGCTGTTGTAGAGAATAATGACAAAACAAAGCTCTCAGGATTCTGAGGTGAAGGGGTTGTCGTTACCCTACACGGTCCTGTTCCCACTGCCCACCGCCCTTCCCCAAGCAGAACTCCATATCCCCCTTGGTGAGACTCAGTGTGGATGCGGGGGGCTGGAGGGAGGATGAAGGGTCCCCATCACGGCTCTCTAGTTGCCTTCCTGTGATGAAGTAGTCTTTCCCCCACTCTTCTTCCCACTCCCCAGTGAGATGGAAGGATGTTGGATGCCCTGGTCTAGGGAGACTTATGAGTGGGGCATTCATTCAGGGCTGACCTCCCCCACTTGGCATCCCAGCTCAACAGAAGTCCTGCTCCATCCAGTCTCCAGAGCTTGTGGATCTGTGTCTGGAGCCCTTGTCACACTGCTTTTTCCCTGGAGCCCAGCCTGCTCTGTGGCCTCCCCTCTCTGACTTCCCCAGCGGTGGACTTAGTGGCCTGACTAATCCTGTGACCAGTGTTTAATTATACAGAATCTTAGCTTCTAGAGAGCGGGAAGGGACCTGAAAGACAGTCCAGTTCTACACAGACCATTGGCCCACAATGGTGCTCACTCCCAGGCCTCCTTCTAGGCCCACCCTGTCCTTCAGGTGTAAAGGGGATGTTGGCCTGGCTGTTCCAGCCCCTTTTCTGTCTCTATGATATTGGGGTGTCGGTTAGACTTGTGAGTACCCTCAGCTGGCCTTTCTCAGGACTATGTCTCAAGTCACATGACCTAAGAGCATGGTTTGGAGTCCAGGTGTGGCGTTATGGGTTAGTGTGCTGGACTGCATAGTTGGTTTGAACCGCAAGGTTGGTGGTTTAAGCTCACCACCCACTCCTCAGCAACCCTATACAGGGTGGCGATGGGTCAGAACCAACTTGGTGGCATTTACCACCACCACCAACATCACTTAAGACTTCAGACTTCAGTCAACTTCATACAAAGGTACCAGACTCCCCAGCCTCAGCTCACCCCTATCCATTCCCACCTGGTTCTGAAGCTATTTCAAACCCCTGACCCTGCTTGTAAAAACAAATGCCAATCAAAAAGTATCACAAAGATTGTTGCTGTCCAATGGCTGTAGAAGGATTTGGCACTTGTTAAACTCTCCCTGATCATGACATATTTTAAATGTGATTTTAACACTGGTTGTTAGAAAACTTGAAAAACAGCACATTGCTGCTATCTTTAGTGCAATCATTGATGGCTTTAGATTGTAGTTAGTTTTCTCAGGACAATCTGATGCAAGTAATCACAGCTCCTTGAAGTAAACTGAATAGTTGTGTAACTCATTACGAGCATGAAAAACGAAGCCGCCTTTGAGAATCCTTTACAAAGACATCCTTAATCGGTTTCTGAGAACTGGATCGAAATGGAAATGGTGGTTACAACCGTGATTTGTTAGCTGGGGCTGACAGTCATAACTGAAAACCTGCCCAGCTGTCAAAGATAAAATGATATTCTTAATTCAGAATATTATAGAACTGACTATACATTACTGTGTAGCTCCAGTGGTGCCTGGGTGGCATCAGCAGTTAAGCACTAGACTACTCACCAAAAGGTTGTGATTTGAACCCACCCAAATGTACCTCAGAAGAAAGGCCTGGTGATCTACATCTGAAAAGCCACGCCCTGACGCCCTGTGGAATATAGTTCTGTTCTGACACACAAGGGGGCGCTATGAATTGCAGTCAACTTAATCACAGTGACTGCTTAAAATTTTTTTTTTTTTTTAATTATTTAGTGTGAATGCAATGGGTGTAGCACTAACGATATTATTTGTTGGAAACTGTCAATTTCTGTAATGGCTACAGGCTTTTTGTTTCTAATGAAATGAAACATGGACTTTGAGCCCCAGACTGGCGCTGTCTGATTGTGTGACGACATCGTGGCTGGCGCTGTCTGATTGTGTGACGACATCGCGTCTTCTTGCTTCCTCCGTAGAGTCTTTGGCGGTGAAGCGGAAGCGAGGCCGGCCAAAGGGGTCCACGAAGAAACTCTGTGCTGAAGAGGAGCTTCCAGAACGAGCTGCGAGTCCCACCGAGGACTGTCTGCTGACTCCCACGGAGCGGAGCAGCCCGGTGCCCAGCAGCCTGGAGTGCAGCAAATGCTGCCGGAAGTTCTCCAATCCCCGGCAGCTGAGAAAACACATCTGTATCATGGTGCTGAATCTCGGTGAGGAGGACAGGGATGCAGGTCAGTGCGTGCCACCATCTGAATGTCGCTGTTTACTCTTGTTCTTGCACATGGCCACCTGTTTATACAGGTCTCCCCATCTGGACTGGTGCTTATTTATACCTGCATGTTATTCATTTTCTGATTGGCTGTGTCTCCGGGTGCAGCTCATGGGGGCTTTGGGGATGGCAGAGGTCATGAGGGAGGACTAACCGAAAGGTTAGTAGTTCAGACTCACCCAGACGTGCAGCGGAAGAAAAGTCTGGCAGTTTGCTTCTGAAAAGTTGCAGCCTTGAAGCCCCTACGGAGGTCAGTTCTGCTCTGCCCACGTAGCGTTGTCATGAGCCGGAATCCACTGGACAGTGGCTGATGGTATTTATCTTTGCTTTGGGGGTTGCGGAAGCTGGGAGACATGGTCCGTGCCTGCAGCAAGCTTAGGTGCTGGTGGGTGTTTGGAAAGTGTCAAAGGTTAAATGACAGTCAGCCCTCAGCTAGAGAAAGCATG